TGAAAATACTCGGACTGAAAATCAGGACTAAACCAGGACTGACAATGGGGGACATAGTGCTTGTGAACATGTGAGTTTTCATGCTCCCGTGACTTTATGCAACTGCTTCGAGTGTGTTCGCCAATGCGGAAGTACCGTTAAATAATAAAATTATCTTATTGTGCACCTCCGTGAACACATACTACTGTTGTATAATGTCTGTGGAAGGTCTCTGAACATAGACACGCTGCAAAGCTGCATTATTGGAGAAGATTTGTACACAAGAAGCCGCTAGCTAAACTCTGTTAGCATCAGAGCCCGCCGGCTACTTCCTGCACGTCCGGCACGTGCCAGGACTTCTGGTCTGAAGACCCCTGCGTCTGAAAACTAGAGAACGTGCGTTTCAGCGTTGCCGGTCTGAAAGCACCATTACATGTATAGACATTTTTTCAACATTCATGGACATTAGTCTCTCCCTATGGACCAATAATTTTTCTGGGCCTTAACTGTTGATCCTCTGGTCTGTGTTGGTGATTTCAATGGTTTTTTGAAGTCATCTGAGATGACTGCGGTTGTAATTTAGATAGATAGATCCCCTTTATTGAACCCCGCAGGAGAAATTGTGTCCAGTAGCAGCAAAAAATATATATATATTGATCATTCTAAAAAGCGAACAATAGTAATTATCAGCAACAGCCCCTCAGGTCACAGCAGCAGAGGTGGAGTAGCCTCTGGGTGGAGCAGGACGGGTCACAGCAGCAGAGGTGGAGTAGCCTCTGGGTGGAGCAGGACGGGTCACAGCAGCAGAGGTGGAGTAGCCTCTGGGTGGAGCAGGACAGGTCACAGCAGCAGAGGTGGAGTAGCCTCTGGGTGGAGCAGGACAGGTCACAGCAGCAGAGGTGGAGTAGCCTCTGGGTGGAGCAGGACGGGTCACAGCAGCAGAGGTGGAGTAGCCTCTGGGTGGAGCAGGACGGGTTACAGCAGCAGAGGTGGAGTAGCCTCTGGGTGGAGCAGGACGGGTCACAGCAGCAGAGGTGGAGTAGCCTCTGGGTGGAGCAGGACGGGTCACAGCAGCAGAGGTGGAGTAGCCTCTGGGTGGAGCAGGACAGGTCACAGCAGCAGAGGTGGAGTAGCCTCTGGGTGGAGCAGGACAGGTCACAAGGTGGAGTAGCCGCTTGGTTCGGACCCTTTTCTCTGCTCTATTCCAAAGTAAAAATCTTCATTAGTATTTTCAAAAAGATAGCATTCCTCCAGTATATTTTCACCTGATCTGCTTGGTTCAGACCATGAATCCTCTCTGCTCCAGTCTGGACCAGTGTAAAACCATGAACACTGTACTGCAGCAACATTTCAGGTAGAAAAAAGCAATACAAATAATAATAATTGTAAAGCACAAAACAACTGTTTTAGAGCTACTTAGGACTTGCAGCCGTTTTCCAGCAGATTAAAAAGTAAACAGATTTAGATTTAGAAAAGAAAATAGATTTAGGGCTATACAGGATTTTTTTGCATTGCATTGTATTCTTACAGAAAATAAAATTGTGAGAACACAGTGCCTGTGGAAGCCATATTCTATAGGATTCTGCTGTTTCTAAAGCACTGGCCAGAGATTTCTCGCCCGGCCAACAGCCTCAGCATTAAACTAGTCTAGTTCAGAGCCAACAAGTAACGCTCCCATGAGGCGTGCTGGAGCAGACATGAGGCATGATTTTACAGCTTTAATATGCAGGGTCACATTGGGCCCCATGCTCTAGACAGACCCGTGCATATCTCGCCAATGTTTGGGTTCTTTATCATCAGTGACCTGATGTTGAAAGTGTGTGCACTGAATTGTTATTCAAACTAAAGAAGATATTCAAAGGTTTACAAAAATGTCATTGTGACATCACAACAATACGTGTCCCCATTCCCAACTACACTTTTCAGATCCATGCACTTAAAAAGAAGTGGAAGTACTCCAACATATTGTAGTGCTTTATGGAAATAATAAAGGACATTTAGATTTAGATGTTTAAAAACTTAATTAATTAAAGGGACAGTATGTCATTTTCATTTTAAAGTACATCTACATCTTTATATGTATCCCCATATAACAAGATAACATGTACAAATCTTATCAGGACTTTTAAGTGGAATTATTCTAAAACCCAATGGACATTATCCAACCAGAGCAGAATAATCTCTCAGAAGGGATGCCAAATTTATTGTGTAATTTAATGTTGTTGGTAGAGCTGAAATTTACGCTGTATCGATGCTTCGTATACGGTTGTTTATTTTTGGCATTTTTCTTTGTGTGCTCCATAGACTTTTCTCACGTTTCACAGATTCTTTTTGTGTTGCGCAGCATGTTTACGTCACAGATCTTACGTGCCCTGCTCTACACAGCACCGGTCTGCATGGTCCCCATGCATCACTAGTGTTTGTAAATCTTTTTTGCGGACAATGCATTGATCTATTATAATATCAATGGAGGACGACGGAGAAGGCACTGGCAAAGACTGGAGAGTTAATAAGAGTCTAAAGAGTGGGAGCACTTCACTCTGAACACTAAACCAGAGTAGTTTGCACACAGTGCTAAGTGGAGCTACCATCTCATGAAAACACCAGTTTGATGCCGCACCTGACGAGGAAGCACCGAGGGAAGACCCGAGACCAGGTAAGTTAACTTTCATGTTTTGGTGTAAGGCGCGCCTTGTGAAAGTAAAATGTTGATAATTATGATAACACAGAGGGGTTTTCCCGTTAACAGTCAAACACTGCCAAAGCAGCAGGTTGGAAACTATCAATGTAGCCGCTGTTCGCCTACACTTAACCTTTCATTAGTTAATGCTGTGATGAAGCAGAAAGATTTATCAGTGTCTACATAAGACATGTGTTATGAAAGTTTGACTTATTTTGACATTCACTAAAATCCTAGAGCCAACGGGAATTATACTACTCCACAACAGTTATTTGAACTCCGTACATTAAATGCCTGTGAACACACTGGACCAAGATCCATCAGCAGTTACAGAACTGTAGGAATGAGGAGCACACGGTACAAAAGATGTGAACAATAACAATATATCACAATTAAATAAAAGCTCTAACTTTTAATAGAAAAACAAGTATAAAAAGCTGCAGTGTAGTATTGTATAGAGATTTCTCGCTTGACGTCACAAGGGCTAGAAGTCGGTAGGCCTCCGCCATGTTGGAGGACAAGCAAACGCTGTATGATAGTGGCGTGCACCCGGAACCGCAGAAACATGTTCAAAATTTGTGCCGTTTTTGGCTGCAGCAAAAGGAGAGACAGGGAAAATAAGTTGTGTTACCGACTGCCAGCCGTCCTTACTTCACACGGCTCCAAAACAGAAGAAATCTCCAAGAAACGAGAGAGAAATGGCACAACAACAAAAAACTAACAGCCCCCAGAGCGCCCGAATATGCTCGGATCATTTCATTTCTGCTAAGTGAAATTAATTTGATGGCGGATTTAATGTTATTCCGAAACAAACAGAAGTTTAAGGATAACTAACTGCAACGTGGGGTTGTTCCATAGACTGTAGCTTAGCTTGTAGCATAGCTGTTCTTGGCTCTCGCACCGGACCTCACCCGGTTCACAGAGTATCTGACTTACCGAAGGCCAGCAGACATGTGAAGGACTGAGCCGTGCTCCAGGGTGCCCCGTACTAGTGTTTATTAATAAAATATACGGCCCTCAAAGTAGACGCAGAAAGCTCCATTGATTTGAATCTAATTTCATTATTTCCACTGCAGTGTAGCCACACAGAGATCCATGGTGTAACAATAAACACAGTAAATGTTAATCGGAGAATACATTATACATTCTTTATACACGTGCACAGAGGTTTTCAGAATTTCATGAAATCATGAAATACTGTTTTAATGCGACAATATGCGACCTCGGTTAACCCGGAAGTAACGATTAACATTAATAATACATTTTAGGATGCATTTCCAGAGGATCTGATTCATGGATTTAGGTTAAATATATATTTGGGTCACTGACTGCTGAAGTTTCAAATTCTCTGTTCAGTTTTCATGTAGTTCGAGAGAGTTCTAGTTTTGAACGTCCAGTTATAGATAGCTAGCAGGGCTGTTACTCGGCGAGGTTGTCCTCCAGTATGGCTGCCGTGGCTGCTAGTCACGTGACCGTAGGATCCCTCTATTGTGTCATACCTATTATTGCAGAGATGCACGACATGTGAGGGCAGCAGTGTTTCTCTAATATAGGACATATTGAATCTGGAAGGGGTGTGCGATTGACAATTAACGTCTGCTTTTCCCTGTCTTTCGGTAAACCATCACAGCCTGTTTAGGACCAGTTCCTGCTCTCAGCACCAGCAGCTGTTCTGACGGATAGGATTTTAAATAAGCTGCTCAGAGACATGCGCCTCATCTGATTCTGTTCGATTTGGAAGGACTCGAAAATCAACCGTGGCACAGGTGCCATTGCCGCTGCCATGTCTTCTTTTGATAATATGAATGCAATAAACTGTATACAATTTAAAAACAGTTGTCATTATTAAATGGTTTTCATTTGATATTGTATATTTTTAAATAGGCAAAATTTACTTAAAATTGATTGATAGAGTCGATAGAATAATCGATTACCAAAATATTCGATAGCTGCAGCTCTAGTTGTTGGTATATATACTCACAAAAAAGCACTAAATAATTGTAAGGACTTTATTAGACCACTAGTAGTGCTTATTACATTGGTCCCTTTAATTAAACCAGGGGTCCCCAAATGGTGGACCGCGGCCCAGGTCCGGACCCCGAGATCCTTTTCTCTGGACCTCCATGATTTTATTGTCCAAAAGTACATTATTACAATTATGTGTCAAATTTTCACCGAAAGCAATTTGTAAACAGGCAGGAGCGAGGGCGGCTATGAGAAAACTATCGGAGCTGTCAAAATAACTTTAGCAGTGTCTGAATCCGAGAGAGTCAGAATGAGCCCTGTGTACGGAGAGATGGACGCTTGCTTTCAGCTGCTCACACTGTCTGTGTGTGAGCAGAGGAGGAGGAGGTGGAGGAGGAGGAGGAGGTGGAGGTGGAGGAGGAGGAGGTGGAGGATGAGGAGGAGGTGGAGGAGGAGGAGGAGGTGGAAGAGGAGGAGGAAGAGGAGGTGGATATGGAGGAGGAGGAAGAGGTGGAGGAGGAGGAAGAGGAGGTGGAGGAGGAGGAGGAGGTGGAGGAGGAGGAGGTGAAGGTGGAGGAGGATGAGGAGGAGGTGGAGGAGGATGAGGAGGAGGTGGAGGTGGAGGAGGATGAGGATGAGGAGGAAGAGGAGGTGGAAGAGGAGGAGGTGGAAGAGGAGGAGGTGGAAGAGGAGGAGGAGGTGGAGGAGGAGGAAGAGGAGGTGGAGGAGGAGGAGGTGGAGGTGGAGGAGGAGGAGGTGGAGGAGGATGAGGAGGAAGAGGAGGTGGAAGAGGAGGAGGTGGAAGAGGAGGAGGAGGTGGAGGAGGAGGAGGAGGAGGAGGAAGAGGAGGTGGAGGAGGAGGAGGAGGTGGAGGAGGATGAGGAGGAGGTGGAGGAGGAGGAAGAGGAGGTGGAGGAGGAGGTGGAGGAGGAGGAGGAGGTGGAGGAGGATGAGGAGGAGGTGGAGGAGGTGGAGGAGGTGGTGGAGGAGGAGGAGGAGGAGGAGGTGGAGGAGGATGAGGAGGAGGTGGAGGAGGATGAGGAGGAGGAGGAGGAGGAAGACGAGGAGGAGGAGGAAGAGGAGGAGGATGAGGAGGTGGAGGAGGAAGAGGAGGTGGAGGAGGAGGAGGAGGAGGTGGAGGAGGTGGAAGAGGAGGAGGTGGAGGAGGAGGAAGAGGAGGAGGAGGAGGTGGAGGAGGAGGAGGAAGAGGTGGAGGAGGAGGAGGTGGAGGAGGAAGAGGTGGAGGAGGAGGAAGAGGTGGAGGAGGAAGTGGAGGAGGATGAGGAGGAAGAGGAGGAGGAGGAGGTGGAGGAGGAAGAGGTGGAGGAGGAGGAAGAGGTGGAGGAGGAAGTGGAGGAGGTGGAGGAGGAGCTCATCTGCTCTGAGAGTTTGGGAGAGGTCTGTGGTGTGTTGTGTAGAGGTCTGTGGTGTGTTGTGTAGACGTCTGTGGTGTGTTGTGTAGACGTCTGTGGTGTGTTGTGTAGAGGTTTGTGGTGTGTTGTGTAGAGGTTTGTGGTGTGTTGTGTAGACGTCTGTGGTGTGTTGTGTAGAGGTTTGTGGTGTGTTGTGTAGAAATGAACAAAGTAGATTAATGTTATGTGTGAATTATATATATTTTTTTCAAATGGTAAGTAATGTTTATTTTTATAGCGCATTTTACAGACCAAGGTCACACAAAGCACTTTACAATGTTCAGAACATATTTTTCTTAACATCTGAACAACAACATAGTTCTTACTACTGTTGTTGTTTAAGGTTTTCAAATAAAGAAAGAAATAACTTGAATGGATTTCTATGAAATAAAATATTTGTATGATGTCCGGACCCTGATCTATTGAACTGATCACGTAAGTGGACCTCCTGCTTTAAACTGTGATTAATTCAACAGAGAATGTTCTCAATTATCTTCATAAACAAAAGTTGGACTGTACAGTTTGTAGGTCACCTGTATTTGAGAGAAAATCATTTTAGTTTAATGCACTCTGAAAAGTATTTTCCCAATCTGCTGTCTGCAGTTATTTGGTTTTGTCTGAGAAAAAAGACTATTCACAAATGGGCACAAAGTCGCCCAGTTTTTGTTTAATCTAACTTGTTCCAAAGTTTGTGAATGCACTATTTTTCAATGTTTTGTTCATGTAATATGCAGTGATTTTTGTTTAAAATGTGACACGTTTGAATGTTCTAAATATTTGAGCTAAATAACTACCTTAAATGCATGTTTATGTTTATTCCTTGTTTGTGCTGCAAAGGTTCTGCAAATGTTGAGCAGTAGAAACATTGTGTGTCGTATGAACTCTGCAGATCAACAGCAGATCCACAAATGTACAAGATCTTTGTACTGCACTTGATGTAAAGCCTGGTTCACACGAGACGATTTTAAAATTGTCGGCCGATTTTTCTCTGTGTGAAACCCCACACAGGGAGATAAAAAAATCACGGGTCTAACCACTTTGGTCGTACAGTGTGTGGTGCGCAGCCCCCCCCGAGTATTCACAGATCAGACGGAAATCTCAGGTCTCGCGAGATCAAGCGTGACTTCAGAGTAAACACACATGACGGACGAAGAGGATGCATTGGCGATAGTTTGTTTTTATCGGAGAAAAGACGTAATCAAAAGAAAAGGCAATGGTCAAAGAAGTGTAGACAACACGAGCATGGACTATACTTGCTACATCGTGATATGGAGGCGTTTCCTCACCGCCTCGTCTCGTCTTCTGATCGGCTACACGCCGCAGTCATGGCAACGCGCACGTCTGTCCTCGGGGGACACCACACACGAAGAGAAATCGGGCCAAAACAATCCAACATGTTGGATATCCCCGATTTGAGATTGGGAGCAGTCCCGATGTCCTTCAGAGCGACGAGTGCAGTCTTAACACACCACACACGGCAGGATAATCTGTAAGACTTTGTTACGGAAATCGGAGCGTTTCTTAAGATTGTCGTAAGGGGTAAATCGGGTCTAAATCGGCCTAAATATCCTGCCGTGTGAACCAGGCTTAATCCATTTGTCACTTTGTTGAAAGAGAATGTTTTTGATTTTTAATACAACTGCTTTATGTACACTTTTAATGTAAGAGTTTTGCCTTGTTAAAAATAAAGTTGTTAATGCAACATAATTGTGTATTTGTATTTGCTCAGTCATAGATGTTTCCAGGTTATTGAATGTTTAATTGTTAATGTCTCTGTGTGAAAGTAGAGAAAGGTTCTTCAGCTGTCTATTGTCTAGAGAGGTTCTTTCATCTCACATCCTAGAGCTGGGATCTACAGTGCCTTGCGAAAGTATTCGGCCCCCTTGAACCTTTCAACATTTCGCCACATTTCAGGCTTCAAACATAAAAATATAACATTTTAATTTTTTGTCATGAATCAACAACAAGTGGGACACAATCGTGAAGTGGAATGAAATTTGTTGGATAATTTAAAAAATTTTAACAAATAAAAAACTGAAAAGTGGGGCGTGCAATATTATTCGGCCCCTTTACTTTCAGTGCAGCAAACTCACTCCAGAGATTGCTAGATTTGCAGTGGTCTGATACTCCTTCCATTTCAATATAATTGCTTGCACAGTGCTCCTTGAGATGTTTAAAGCTTGGGAAATCTTTTTGTATCCAAATCCAGCTTTAAACTTCTCCACAACAGTATCTCGGACCTGCCTGGTGTGTTCCTTTGTCTTCATGGTTCTCTCCGCGCTTTAAACAGAACCCTGAGACTATCAAAGAGCAGGTGCATTTATACGGAGACTTGATTACACACAGGTGCATTCTATTTATCATCATCAGTCATTTAGGACAACATTGGATCATTCAAAGATCCTCACTGAACTTCTGGACTGAGTTTGCTGCACTGAAAGTAAAGGGGCCGAATAATATTGCACGCCCCACTTTTCAGTTTTTTATTTGTTAAAAAAGTTTAAATTATCCAACAAATTTCATTCCACTTCACGATTGTGTCCCACTTGTTGTTGATTCATGACAAAAAATTAAAATTTTATATCTTTATGTTTGAAGACTGAAATTTGGCTAAATGTTGAAAGGTTCAAGGGGGCCGAATACTTTCGCAAGGCACTGTATAAGAGGAGATTCTCGAGGACGTGAGATGAAAGAACCTCTGATTAGACTAAAAACGACAAGTGCAATTTTATCTACATTTTACACTACACTAGTTTTGATTACACATTAATATTAAAATCTATTTAAAAAATAAACAATGCTGTTAATTAAATTATAACTAATATTGTTAATAAAACATAACTAATAATGTTTATAAATCTGTGTGGTGATGTCACCAGAACATGCAGTGAATGCAAGCAATTCACAGTAGCATTTTTAAAGAACAAGTTAAACAGTACATGTTCAGTTTTCACACAAAAATCACCAATGTCTGGAACAAAGAGCGCAAAGACAGAAGGCCTGAGTAAAGCTGATTGTCTCACCTCCCTTGATGACATATGTGCCACAGCAGCAATTTCTCTTATTATAACACCTACGAGCAGGTTATCAGCACATTAAGCGCTTAAGTAGAATTGAAACAATAACAGTTTTTAAGTTTAGCCTCAATTTGGTGCTGAAGATTTGCCTCAGGCCCATTGATCGATCAATATAAGTCTCATTCTCCTGCACAATACACCACACCGGCAGTATATTTCAAAAACTAATTTAAAGTTGGTTTGCTCATTCTGTGTGTGTATGTATGTGTATAATAAAAAAAATTGTCCACTCACCTTTGGCTCTCCGCGGGCGGTTATCCCTCTCTAAGCTCGGGTCCTCTACCAGAGGCCTGGGAGCTTGAGGGTTCTGCGCAGTATCTTTGCTGTTCCTAGCACTGCACATTTCTGGACCGAGATGTCCGAGGTTGTTCCAAGGATCCGCTGTAACCTCTTCTAGCTTCGGGGTCACTGCCCCGAGTGCACCGATCACCACGGGCACTACTGTCACCTTTACCCTCCAGGCCCTCTCCAGCTCCTCAGAGGGCCTGGAGGGTAAAGGTGACATTAGTGCCCGTGGTGATCGGTGCACTCGGGGCACCGATATATATATTTTATATATATATATATGTACTGTATATATGTTTTTTTTTTTTCTTAAAGATTCCGGTCACTATGAAATGCAGTTGCAAACGGTTTATATGGATGATGGGCTCTTGAGTGAAAATATTAGTGCCACAGATATAGGCTGAAAGATGGAATTCCTATTGCAAATACATTTTCTCATTGGAAGGAGCACTCAGCGATGTTTACCTCTCTTGAGGCAGTGTAGCTGAAAATTGGTAAGGGAATTGCGTCTTGCTATGGGAACTTGCCCCAGGTTTCTCATTCTGAAGTGTGAAGTTAAAAAAGTTAGAAATTAAAATGGAAATCTTTCAATCTTTAACCCTTTAACCTGACCTGCACAGTCAGGAGGGTATAAAGCTAAAGCTTTTCAGACAAATTTCACATTATGATAATGATATATGATAATATTTGTGATTGTGATGAGATTTTATTCCAAAATTAGGACATTTGAGACAGTGCCTTTGGCAAATCAGGACAGTGGAGAATCAGAACTAAACATGGGGAGGCTGCATTTCAGATTCATGCTGCTAAAATCGGGAACAATCTTCCCGAAAATGTGAGACAGGCCTCTTCTCTGACAATGTTTAAAACCAGTTTAAAAACAGTTCTGTTTAGTTGTAGCTGTGCTACAACTGAGGGATTTTATATTTTTATCTTTCTTTTTATTGTTCTGTGATTATTTATGATTTTAATGCTTTTTTGTCTTGTTCAGCACTTTGAATTGCCTTGTGTATGGATTGTGCTTTACAAATAAACTTGCCTTGCGTTGGGTGGGGAGGGGGTGAGCCAGAAAAAGCGAAGTAGTGACTATGGAGTAGGGAGGGGGTGAGGAATAGACTCAACAGTTTTGAGTCTGTTCTGTTCTCTGCTTGTTGTGTACAACAAGCACATTTGAGCACATTTGAGCACATTTTATTTATGTGCTCATAAATAAAAACCCCTGCGTTGTATTGTCCATCACTGAATAACAAAAATCTGTTTAAAACGTCTGTATACAACGTTATGGCACAAATGCATATCAACATATCAACAATGACACCTATGTGTACGTCACTTCCGGTTTTGGCAATTTTTCCGCGAATTTCTTTTTGCATAAAGATAATTATTGATAGAAACCGCTACGGGTGAAACTATCTGTCAAAATGAGTTTTATTGAACACAAAAAAGACCACAATATACCAACAAAATAAGATTAGGTCCTTTTTAACTAAGTATGAAGTAAGTTTGCAAGTGCATCGGTTGAATTCCATCCGACCAATCAGCGAGCGTGGAAGGTGGGTGTTGTAGTTAGATGTACGTGACGTCAAGTTTACGGGCAGGTTTTAGTTAGGCTAGCAATGTCAGACCTCAAACGTTTTCTGTAAGTCTTCCATATCGCCCTGCCCAAGGTTTTCCAAACTAACCATCTCCAAATATGTATATTACTCTTTATTCATATTATCCACATGCACATACAGTAGTTGTTGTTGTGAGAA